CCCCAGGGCAACTAAGCCTGTACGCTGCAAGAGAAGCCCGCACATCGTAACTAGAGAAAGTCCAGGAACCACAACAAAGAGCTCACATACAGCCAAAATTTTAAAAAAAGAAAAAAAATGTAAAGACAGAAATAAAGACAACACAAAAAGTCACGAAGTCACCAACTCTATGATTCCATTTATGTGAAATATCCAGAATAGGTAAATCTGCAGAGACAGAAAGCAGATTGGAGGTGGTGGGGCACAAGAGAGGGGGATGTGGGGAATGACTGATTAATAGGTATGGGGTTTCCTCTTGAGGTGATAAAATATTTTGTAACCAGATAGAGGGGATGGTTGCACAACACTGTAAATCTAAATGCAACTGAATTGTTGACTTGAAAATGGTTAATTTAATGCCATGTGAATTTCACCTCAGTTGAAATAATTGTTTTCTTTTTGAAGTATAATTGATTTACAATGTTGTGCTAGTTTCTGGTGTATTAGCAAAATCATTCAGTTATATATATTCATATGTGTATTCTTTCTGATATTCCTTTCAATATTCTTATGCCTTTATTTACAGGATATTGAATATGAAATAATTGTTTAAAAATTTAAAGGTGGGACCTTATATACACCATTTCCATTTACTCCCACTGAAAAGAAGCAAAAATGCTGAATTAAATATAGTTTGTAAAAAAGTCTCATTAAATCAAGGAGTAAGGAAATGTCTAGTGAAAGTATTAAGAGAAGTACTAAAAGAAATGTAAGCTCTGGAGGATCTAAGCTTCTTTCCCCTCAAAAGGGCCAAGAACAGCTAAGACACTTTAGAAGAAAAAAGATAAAGTGTAAGAACTTGTCCTAAAAAATGTCAATATTTATTAGAAAGCCGTAATAATCACAGCAGTGGAATACTGAACAGACAAATAAATCAGAGAAAAATAAACAAGGAAATGTGTGTGATAAGATCGTACTAAAAGTCACTGGGGACAGTGATTGAGACATGGTATCATTGATACATGATACATTGATAGAGGACAACCCACCATCACATAAAAAATTAAGTCTGACATTACTGACTTGCTACTGAGTATAGTAAAATTACTACCAGGAAGTTTATTACTGCTAAACTTACAGCTAAAATTATTTATTACTGATTTCCCCTGCTAAATCTCAACCTGACTTCTTACCAACACAAAACTCAATTCTAAATCAATTAAATACAAGCAAAAGGTAGAGCTTCAAAGATTTTTAAGAACCAATATAGAACATCTTTATAACTTTTGGTAGAGAAAGTTTTCTTAAAAGAGGCAAAAAGCAAAGCACTAGCCATAAAGGAAAAGCTCTATAAACTAGACTACATTGAAATTAAGAATTTCTAATACCATAGAGTGAAAAGCCAAGTTGCAAAGTGGGAAAAGAATTTTGCAACATATATAACTGCCAAAGAAGTATTAGTAGTCTCCGAATTTTTAAAAAAAAGAGGAACAAATAACCTGGCAATTCACAAGAGGAGCTCCATACACAAATGGCCAATATATATATTGGAAAAGGTACTCAACCTCATTAGAAATCAGAAAAATGCACATAAAAGCCACAGCAAGATACAACAGCACTGCTCCCCAATACAAAACATGCATTTTCACAAAATGTTGGAAGCACTGGGAGAGATGAAGACCAGCTGGAATTCTCAGTCACTGTTAATGGAAGTGTAAACTGGCACAATCATTTTGGAGAAAAGTTGGCCATTATGAAGGAAAGTTGAGGGTGTACAGATCCTATGACTCAGCAATTCTTCACAATGGCTTCAAAATAAAAGTTAACCAAAAGCCCATCAAAAGTAGAATGGATCAACAAATTCTGGGATATTCATACAACAAAACACTACACAGTGATGAGAATAAATGGATTACAGTTTCACACCGTAAAATGGGTGAATTATATCCACATAATGCTGAGCAGCAGAAGAAAAATACATATACATGCATATATTCAAACTTGAAAAAAGCTGAAGTACGTCTTTAGGGAGGCATGAGCTACGCTTGTGCTATGATTAGCAGCTCAGTCTTGTCTGACTCTTTGTGACCACATGGACTGTAGCCCGCCAGGCTCCTCTGCCCATGGGGATTCTCCAGGAGTGGGTTGCCATGCCCTCCTCCAGGGGATCTTCCCAATCCAGGGATGGAACCCAGGTCTCCAGCATTGCAGGCAGATTCTTTACTGTCAGAGCCACCAGGGGGCCCCAAGAATACTGGAGGCATAACAGTAAAAGTGTTCAAGGAAATGATGACCACAAAAGTCAAGGCGGCAATTATATTTTGAAGAATAAAGAGAGTGAAGTTCAGGGTGTGTTGGAGGGTCTTTGGAGGAAGTTGGTGATGTTCTTTACTTAGTGATAGTTGCACAAATGTTTACTTTTTCATTTAACAGTACATATATGTTATATTTACTTATGTATTTCGCAACAAAAAAGATTCAAAAAGACAAATGAGTTCATTACCAATTGGCTATTTCCACCATGAATAAACAATGAATTCAAGGTTGCAGGGGCACTTGAAATTATTGTGCCTATTCAGGGGACTCTAGGTCATTGATATGCACGTTTTTTTCCTGGTTTTTTGGAGGGGGGAGTTGGTGCATGGGAGGTCAATTCTGTGGGAAAAAAATCATGATAGCCTCCCTTTTTCCCATTCAAAACAAAAATAAATTTAATAAGGCACGTGGAAAAATATGTATATTTTAGGTTCCCACAATATTTCATAGAAAATGCCAATTAAAAACTGAGTTTTTAGTTACTATTAGTTGTTTTCTGGGCATATTTGTGAATTGGCAGCATAGAGAACCCTTTCCAGTATCTCATTACTTACTTTTGCATAGTTTAGCTCAAATCCTATTGGTAAATTATAATTGTCTAGGGAACTACTAGAGCTGTTTTCAAAAGTGATGCCCAGGTTTTACATATATAAAGACTTTTAGGTGATTCTAACATACAGCCAAAGTTAAGAATCACTACAGGTCTTTGAAATTCACAGGTGATATATTTTATCCTCAAAGTACTCATACCTGAGGTAGGTATGGCATCCCCACCTCAACGGGGCAAACCATGGCTTAAACAAGCACTTTGCCCAAAAGTCACATCAAATTAATGACAGAGTGAAAGCCAGCATTAGCTTATTCCATCCAATAACACATTTACTCCAATTGTTAAGTGCCTGCTGTGGGACAGGTATGGCATCAGGCAATGAGGAGAGAGAGAAGAATCCTATGTGGCTCTTGGCTTAACTGTACACCTCCCTGACCATCTCTTGCTCTACCTGCGCTGGGCAATACAGAGCTATATAGTGCAGGGAACTATATTCAATATTCTGTAACAAACTATAATGGAAAAGAAGGTGGAAAAGAATGTGTATATATGTGTGTGTTTGTGTAAAACTGAATCACTTTGCTGGACAGCAAAAATCAATACAACTTTATAAATCTACCATGGGTGTGCCTGCATGCTAAATTGCTTCAGTCGTGTCCGACTCTGTGTGACCCTATGGACTGCAGCCCGCCAGCCTCCTCTATCCATGGGGATTCTCCAGGCCAGAATACTGGAGTGGGTTGCCATGCCCTCTTCCAGGGGATCTTCCCAACCCAGGGATTAAACCCACATCTCTTTAAGTCTCCTGCATTGGCAGGCAAGCTCTTTACCACTAGAGCACCTGGGAAGCCTAAATTAACTATATCTCGATAAAACAAAATTTTTTTAAAAGTCTGAGTTTGAGATGAGTCAAAGGCCATATTGGGAAGCCGGGTGGACACACACAGCCCTGGTCTAAGCCCTTCCTGGTTGAAGATAACTGCTATGTAATCTACTTCCTTAAAAACTGGACCTCCATGGCTGATTCATGTCAATGTATGGCAAAAACCACTACAATATTGTAAAGTGATTAGCCTCCAACTAATAAAAATAAATGAAAAAATAAATAAATAAAAGCAATTAAAAAAATGGACCTATAATATCAGCATTCTTTATAAACTAATTATAGAGATGAATGTAGAGTAGATATAATTAAGAGTACAGAGAGGAAGTACACTGGATACTAGGTGTATACTAGATATACACCTATATATATACTGGAAGTATACTGGATACTAGATTCAGAAGAAAGATTCATCTTCCAGTTATTTAAACATACTCCTGGAACAAAGCTGTGGTTGGGAGGCTAGGCAGCATCGAGAATTATAAACTCAGCAGACTATTTTCTGAAAATGTTATGAGGATGAGTGACCACTCTAGAGAGACTTTAAAGACACGACGTGGGACACTTGGCAGAACTTCACCATAACATGGTAACATCAGTGTTTCTATTCATGTAAAAATTCAGGACATAAAATAACCTTTATTGCGATATCCTCAGTCTCCATGGGACGCAGACGTCGTGTTGATTGTTCGTAGTTGTCCAGGTGATATCTTCCAGGCTGCTTCCTGTTTATAGTTTTTGGCTGCTGCATTCCAAATGGAAAAGAACACAAGTTGAAGTGCTACGAAAAAACTGAGGTTTTACTGAACATTAACTCACCAGGTTGCTGCTCCATTTAGAGTCTAAGAAAAAGAAGTAAAGTAAATGGCATATTTTAATTATTTCTATGGCATCCCCCCACTCCGCCCAAAAGCAAACAATAATAAAAAAAGTGTTATGCACTCATTTTAAACCTAATTCACAAACTTTTTAAGAAAATGAAAATATGAAGATGTGATATTCGAAAATGATGGAAGTTAAAATGCTGAGCACCAAACTAGGCTCTGACTATTCTTTCTCTACTTTTCTGGATGAATAGACCCAGGCAATAAAAAAAAGTGTGTGTCATGGCAAAAAGCAAGCAGGCTAACTTAGGTTAAACTAGAGTCTACTTGTTAGGCCATCAGGCTTGTAAATGTTTCAACAGTACATTTTTGGTCACCCTCTGAATTACGAGGATTTTGAGTCTGATACACTCACATAAATCAGACGAGTCTACATGTCACCTGAAGATCCATGGTGGAATGAGAAAAAGCATAAAGATCTAGGATTTCTTTGCTCAAACATGTATATTATTTCATGTGTGCTCAGTCACTCAGTCATGTCTGACTCTTTGCGACCCCATGGACTGTTACCAGCCAGGCTCCTCTGTCCATGCGATTTTCCAGGCAAGAATACTGGAGTGGGTTGCCATTTCCTCCTCCAGGGGACCTTCCCAACCCAGGGATCGAACCCACGTCACTTGCATCTCTTGCACTGTTGTGCTATGCTTAGTTGCTCAGTCATGACCGACTCTTTGGGACCTCATGGACTGTAGCCCACCAGGCTCCTCTGTCCATGGGGATTCTCCAGGTAAGAATACTGGAGTGGGTTGCCACGCCCTCCTCCAGGGGATCTTCCCAACCCAGGGACTGAACCCAGGTCTCCCGCATTCCAGATTATTTACCATATGACCCACCAGGGAAGCCCGAAAGACACAGGTGGAGGAGCTGAGGGGTGAATCCAGGGCCTTGTACACGTGAAGCATGTGCTCTATCTCTGAGCTACACCCCCTTGCACTGGCAGGCAGATTCTTTACCACTGCACCACCTGGGAAGCCCATATTATTTCATAAGGAGATCTATAAGCATTACAGAATGATCTAGTCTTTCTCAGATATTATAGCATTATTGTTCTGAGCCAAAGTACTAAAGCATCCAAAATATGGAGGATGTCACCTAAGGCTAGACAATCTTCCTATACTTAAACTTGAATTAGGTCATGACTAGAAGCTTTTGTTATTCTATAATTTTGAATTTAATTTCACACAGACAGAGACAAATGGTTGAAGAGAAGGTAGAAAATCCAGCTCTGTTAACCTCTAAATCATAAAATATATAAGCTCAAAATTTGTCCCAGAAATCTTGTAAGCAACTATTTCAACATAAATAACTATCTATAGTACTTATAGAGACTATCAAAGCTAAATAGTTATACACTTCAAAACTATCAAATAAGCTATAAAACAAAAGATTCTATAATGTTTTTGGCTTTGGAACATTAGGTTTAGCTTTTTTGATCAATCTGTTGAGTTCTATCATGAGAATCATGCATGACCTCAAATAACCAGCAATTTAATCCCAACAGGATAACGCCATCCAGTTTACATCCATTAGTATCAACCACATTACCCTGGTAGCTCAGATGGTAAAGAATCTGACTGCAGTGCAGAAGACCTGGGTTCAATCTCTGAGTTGGGAAGATCCCCTGGAGAAGGGGATGGCTACTCACTCCAGTGTTCTTGCCTGGAGAATCCTATGGACAGAGGAGCCTGGAGCGCTACAGTCCACAGGGTTGCAAAGAGTTGGACACGACTGAGTGATTAACACTTTCACTTTAGGGTTTCACTGGTGGCTCAGATCATACTCAAACTAATTAAATAACACATGCTAGGCTACATGCCAATCAATACACAGACTAAAAAGCCACTGAGAAGAACTAGCAACGGTTCCGTCACACAGAAACTGTTGAATGCATTCTAAACTTAAAAAAGAAAGAGAGAAAAAAAGAGAATGTTCACGACATTTTTAATTTTGTTTTTCTTCTCAGAGTCCTCACAGATAACCTCACAGGGGATGAGGCAGAGCCACTAACTATCCTTTCAGCTGAGTATTTTCCCCACACAAGACCTGTCTACATCTGTACATATATTGGCTGTCTTCTAGAGTCTTAACTTCTATAGTAGTATCGGCCCCAGAGGTCCAAAAGGGATGACTTCATGTTCTTCACAAACCTAAGGAGAGGGGTGGGAGGAGGAGACGTGTTGACAGAGATTTGAGTCCGAACCTCACAGATGTAATTTGAAGAGACTCTGGCACTAGAAAGTCACTAATTCTCCATGGAGATTTGGCAGCCAAAACCACTTAGCTCTAAGCTTTTACAGAATACATAGCTTCTTAAGCACTCTCAAGAAGGAGTTTCCATTCGCGTTCTTAGACCTGGGTTCAATCTCTGAGTTGGGAAGATCCCCTGGAGAAGGGGATGGCTACTCACTCCAGTGTTCTTGCCTGGAGAATCCTATGGACAGAGGAGCCTGGAGCGCTACAGTCCACAGGGTTGCAAAGAGTTGGACACGACTGAGTGATTAACACTTTCACTTTAGGGTTTCACTGGTGGCTCAGATCATACTCAAACTAATTAAATAACACATGCTAGGCTACATGCCAATCAATACACAGACTAAAAAGCCACTGAGAAGAACTAGCAACGGTTCCGTCACACAGAAACTGTTGAATGCATTCTAAACTTAAAAAAGAAAGAGAGAAAAAAATAGAATGTTCACGACATTTTTAGTTTTGTTTTTCTTCTCAGAGTCCTCACAGATAACCTCACAGGGGATGAGGCAGAGCCACTAACTATCCTTTCAGCTGAGTATTTTCCCCACACAAGACCTGTCTACATCTGTACATATATTGGCTGTCTTCTAGAGTCTTAACTTCTATAGTAGTATCGGCCCCAGAGGTCCAAAAGGGATGACTTCATGTTCTTCACAAACCTAAGGAGAGGGGTGGGAGGAGGAGACGTGTTGACAGAGATTTGAGTCCGAACCTCACAGATGTAATTTGAAGAGACTCTGGCACTAGAAAGTCACTAATTCTCCATGGAGATTTGGCAGCCAAAACCACTTAGCTCTAAGCTTTTACAGAATACATAGCTTCTTAAGCACTCTCAAGAAGGAGTTTCCATTCGCGTTCTTTTCAAACACACAGTTTTTTTTCTCTCCATTTCTAAAAGTTTGTCATTTGTGGTTTGGCGCGTCGGCAGTTGATGAATGGCCCCAAAAGACATCAGAAGTCCAGTCTGGTTTCAATAACCCCAAAGATATTGGAGGCATCTAAAGGGGATCCTTTTTTCCTTCCAACCTTCACTCAGTTCAACTTTTCATGCGCCCCTCCTCTCATGCAAAAGACTCTTCAGAATCCCCTCATGCTGCACACTTGACTTCCTCTGTCCCCTCTCCTGAGGTCATCTCCCTCCACTCATCCCCATGTCTCTGAAAGATGATCTAATAATTTCTTGTGGAAACTATCGTCCTAAAGGTGACAAGGTTGGTTCTCACCAAATGCCTGAGTTTCCTATTGCCTCAAACTGTAGATGCTCTGTGACGTGTTCCCATCTTGGTGTCCATGTCCACACAAGAGCACACAGGCATCTCAGACTTTGTCACTCCAGTATTTACAAGCATGAGTGCTAGTTCCTTCTCAGACAAAACAAAAAAAAAGCCACACCTGCTTACCAAAATAACTCAACAGAGAGTAAGAAAATAACTCCAGGAAAGCAGAAGAAATCAAGTCTAAGACAGCCCAGTGCTTGTCTTAAGTATTTTTAGCAGTTTTAAACACACTGTGGAGAAAAATTTAATGCAGAATGACTTCCTGTGAAGGGTCTCCAAGCCTCAACTCCTTCCTGTCAGGAGACTGCATGTCCATTTTTGTTTGGTTACACAAATGGTAGATATATTCACATGTTCTCTAATAGTAAATGAATAATTATTAACTTGTAACTAATTTTAGACAAACTCCTTTCTACATTACTCTTATGAAATTGGCATACTAATTTTAAAGACTTTCTTCAGAATTTTTCAGACACAGCTTTCACAAAAGTGGTGTAATCTTGTCCCATTATTTTAAGTATTATCTAATGACCAATGGCTCTTAAATTTACATCTCCAAGGGTGACTTCTCTTCTTGCATGTCAATAAATATCTCAAAATTATCATGTGCAAAATATACCTCTTGATTCCACCTCAACAGCAACCTACTCGTTTCTCAGCTTCCCTGTTTCAGTTATCGACTCTGCCATCTACTCAGTGCTCAAGCCAGTAACCTAGGATTCATCCTTGAGTCTTCTTTCTCCCTCCTCATTTCCATTCAATCCATCAGCAAGCCTCCATCAGCTCCACCCAAAAAAATGTACACTGAATTTCATAACTTCTCACAAGGTCCACTGCAACCAAAACAAATTCTAACCATCCCCATTTCTTGCTATGCCATTATAATGACCTCTTTACTGATCCATCTGTTCTACTCTTGTCACCAGTGACAACTCTCCCCTCAATAGTTAGAGTGATCCTTTAAACATATAAACAAAATTATATGCGTCCCTACTTTAAACCTTCCAATGGTTTCCTATTGCTTGTTAGTAGAATCCAAACTCTCTCCCTGGCTTACAGGACCTGCAATCCTTGATCTTTACCCACCTGCCAATGGAGGAGACCTAAGAGATGCAGGTTCGGTCCTTGGATTGGGAAGATTCCTTGGAGGAGGAAATGGCAACCCCTTCCAGTATTCTTGCCTGGAGAATCCCACAGATAGAGGAGCCTAGCAGGTTACAATCCATTGGGTTGCAGGGAGTCGGACACAACTAAAGCAACTTTTAGCACTTAATCCTTGCTCCTAGTTCATTTTATCTCTCCCTACCTTAAGCATCAGCCATAGTGTCCCTCTGTTCTTTGAACACACGAAATTAATCCCCACTTCAGGGTCACAGCATCTTCTAGTTCTCCTCCCGAAATGATTTGGCGTCTTTCCTAGGCCTCTGCAGAAGAGGTACCGACTCTTCATTCAGGTCTCAGCTCCAACGCCAGCTCTTCAGAGGGACCTTCTGGAGAATGACTACCCTGCTCTGAGGACACCAGTCACTCTGTAACACCTTCTTTAATTTTCTTCCCACGGGGAAATGATCTCATCTTTTTACTTTTTATCATCTGACTCCTGCCTCAAGAGAGCAAACCCTGTGACGACAAGGATCCTGCCTGCCTTGCTCAGAGCTACATCGACAGGTCTTAACACAATGCATAGGGCAGTTTCTAAGTCTGGAAACACAAGCTAATATATAATACTTGTAACATTCCATGTAAAACATGAAAAATAATATCAACAGTGTTTCCAGGCTTTACAGAGATATGAGTAAATATTTGTGTAATGGATTAACAAACTGGTTCAGGAGTCACAAGACTGGGGTTTTAATTCTGACTATTGTTGTTTAGTCACTCAGTCGTGTCCCACTCTTTTGCACCCCCATGGAGCACACCAGGCTCCTCTGTCCATGGAATTTCCTAGGAAGAATATCAGGAGTGGGTTGCCATTTCCTTTTCCAGGGGATCAGCCTGACCCCGGGATTGAACCCGCATCTCCTGTATAGCAGGTGGATTCTTTACCACTGAGCCACCAGGGAAGACCCAATTCTGGCTCTGTCACTCACTAGTCTTATGACTCTAAAACAACATGCAAATAAAACTATTCATCTAGAAAATAATATAGGTAATGTAATGTAATATATTAAATGAGTCAAAAGACATAATGCATCAAAAAGCACGTTTTAAGCTGAAAAGTATAATATAGTTAAAGGTATTATAAGAAAATGATACATGAGTTTTATTTTTTATTATTTTTATATAAAGCTTGGGGTAGACAACCTCTCTGTTTCCTTTTGAATTGAACATGAGCTGTCCCTCTTGGGATAATCTTTTGATGATTTATAAAGATAAGCCTTATATATTTCTTTATTGATTCTAAACCTATAAGGTTTGTTGTAGAAGCAGGTAGTAATTTTTCTTCACATGTGTGCTCACTCAGTCATGTCTGACTCTTTGCTACCCGTGGACTGTAGCCCACCAGGCTCTTCTGTCCATGGGATTCTCCAGGCAAGGATACTAGAGTGGGTTGCCATGCCCTCCTCCAGGGAATCTTCCTAATCCTGGGATCGCACCCACGTCTCAAGTCTCCTGCATTCGCAGGTGGGTTCTTTACCACAGCGCCACCTGGGAAGCCCCTTTTCTTCACATAGGTTACAAGTAAAGCTGACAATTTCTTCTAGTTGCACCCATTTTAAATCATCCATCCTCAAGGTGGCCCCTTATTCACAGCTCCCGTAACAAGCAAAACACTTACGACTCCAGTGTGCTTCTTACAGGATTCAAACGGAAGAGAACCTTCTCCAGTTCGCCAGCTGTCCTCACCAATCTCATCACTCAAGAGAAATTCATTCAGCTTTTGAACACTATAAGAGGCAAACAAGCACACGAACGATATGGGTTAAAAATAAAACCACCGCCAAAGAAGTTCTACCTAAGTAAACAAACTTTACCCCCAACCATTTCCATGGTAAGTAAGTCAGCTCTAAGTATCATTTTTCAAGACCAACTGGGAATTCAGTTAGGGAATGCCAGGGACTGATGGCCTCATGGGACTTGGGCCTTTCAGTGCTTAAAATGGAAGAATCTTAGAAAAACCAGGACCTAAATTCAACCAAATCACTCTTGCACTTTTTTTTGCAACTGTATTTCTTGTCAAAGACAACAGAAGGAACTTGAAACAAGGTGGTTAAAAATAATAATACTAATAAAGGAAGCATCATTATTCTAATTTTAAAAGTGAGGGGAAGAAAGGTACAGAGAAGTAAATAAAAGCATGAAGCGTACAACAGAGAGATCAAGGGTCCACACCCACTATACAACCTTGCATAAGCATTACTTATATATTGCCCATATTCCAGCAACCTGCATAGACAGGGCCCTCTCCTCAAAATGTCAGCCAAGACCAGTGGTATCAACATCATCTGGGAGCTTCCTCAAAACAGAAAATCTCAGCCCCCCACCCCTCAAGACCTCCTGAAGCAAAATTTGTATTCTAACTGGATCCAGAGATGCTTCATAAGCATGATACAGTTTAAGAAGCCCTGCTCTAGAAGAGTTCACAAACATCCTTTACTGTGTTCTCCAGAGGCTGGACACAAGACCCCTTGCTCCATCGACCCCACCCACTTTAAATTTCTCAAACCAGCAACACAGCATCAGAGTAGAGAGAAAGAATCAAAGAAAACAATAACATAATTTGAAAACACCCCTCCATCAATCAAATGATATGCTAAAGAAAAGTCGGCGAACTTGAAGGATGAGAAATGCTCCTTTTAACATGCTAGGATGCTAACAGTAGACAAACCAGCTTGGTACAGGCAGCATCACCTGTAGAGGAAAATCTGTCATTGGTAGGAAACCAGAAAACATATACTTGAAACAAGAGATTTTTTTTTTTTTTTTTCCACTGGAGCTGGTAGTCAAGTGCCCCCAGGTAGGTCTCAGTAGTTTGTTTTTGTGACAGACTAATACAATGAAGAAAAGCATCTGTATGTATAACTGAATTACTTTGGCGTACAGCAGTTATTAATAAAGGGTGACGCCCTGGTGGCTCAGATGATAAAGAATCTGCTTGCAATGCAGGAGACACAAGAGACAATACAAAATTTAAAAAGACAGATAATAAAGAAGAAAAGAAAATTTAATTCAGTTTGTTGCCCATGAACTTTAAGCCCTGTAGCCTTGCATGCCATAGAAGCTGCATACTTTCTTTGGAATCATGAAGGTAAATAAAAGCCACTGGGGCAGTCTATCTATTAACTTCTAAATTTCATTTACAGAAAACAAATAATTTTTAAAAAAGATTTTTTTTAACTGACACAGGGGCTTCCCTGTAGCTCAGTTGGTAAAGAATCTGCTTGCAATGCAGGAGACCCTGGTTCAATTCCTGGGTCGGGAAGATCCTCTGGAGAAGGGATAGGCTCCTCACTCTAGTATTCTTGGGCTTCACTAGTGGCTCAGATGGTAAAGAATCCATCTGCAATGTGGGAGACTGGATTTGATCCCTGGGTTGGGAAGATCCCTTGGAGGAGGGCATGGCAATTAATCCTAGGATTCTTGCCTGGAGAACCCCCATGAACAGAGGAGCCCGGCGGGCTACAGTCCATGCGTCACAGAGTCAGACTTGACTGAGCGACTAAGCGCAGCACAGCATAGTTGATCTGGGGCTTCCCTGGTGGCTCAGGGGTAAAAAGACTCAGGTATGATCCCTGGGTCAGGAAGATCCCCTGGAGGAAGAAATGGCAACCCAATTCTGTACTCTTGCCTGGGAAATCCCAGGATAGGGGAGCCTGGCAGGCTACAATCCATGGGCTTGCAAAGAGTCAGACACAACTTAGCAACGAAACAACAGTAATAGTTGATTTACAATATCGTGTTAGTTTCAGGTGTATAAAACAGGAATTGAGATATATATATCTGAATCTATCTAAATATATTTATATATATATACACACATATACTTCTTTTTAGATTCTTTTCCCTTGTAGTTTATTACAAAGTATTATGTATAGTTCCCTGTGCTATACCGTAGGCCCTTATTGGTTATCTATTTTAATATATATCCGTAGCGGTGTGTACATGTTAATTTCATATGAGAAATAATTTTTAACTGAAGTTTAGTTGATACAATATTATACAAGTTACAGGTGTACAGTAAAGTGGCTCACAGTTTTTAAAGGTTATACTCCATTTATAGTTACAAAACACTGGCTATATTACCTGTGTTACGCAATATATCTTTTGTAGCTTATTTTATACATAAGAGTTTGGACCTCTTAATGCCCTATGCCTCTGTAGCCCCTCCCTCCTTCCCTTTCCCCAGTTTGAAAAGACTCAGGTTTGATCCCTGGGTCAGGAAGATCCCCTGGAGGAAGAAATGGCAACCCACTTCTGTACTCTTGCCTGGGAAATCCCAGGACAGGGGAGCCTGGCAGGCTACAGTCCATGGGGTCGCAAAGAGTCAGACACAACTTAGCAACGAAACAACAACAGTAATAGTTGATTTACAATATCGTGTTAGTTTCAGGTGTATAGCACAGGAATTGAGATAGATATATCTGAATCTATCTAAATATATTTATATATATATAAATACATATACTTCTTTTTAGATTCTTTTCCCTTGTAGTTTATTACAAAGTATTATGTATAGTTCCCTGTGCTATACCGTAGGCCCTTACTGGTTATCTATTTTAATATATATCAGTAGTGGTGTGTACATGTTAATTTCATATGAGAAATAATTTTTAACTGAAGTTTAGTTGATACAATATTATATAAGTTACAGGTGTGCAGTAAAGTGGCTCACAGTTTTTAAAGGTTATATTCCATTTATAGTTACAAAACACTGGCTATATTACCTGTGTTATGCAATATATCTTTTGTAGCTTATTTTATACATAAGAGTTTGGACCTCTTAATGCCCTATGCCTCTGTAGCCCCTCCCTCCTTCCCTTTCCCCAGTGGCAATTACAATACTATAGAGAACCACTAGCTCTCTATAGATCTGTGAACCTCTTTTTTGTTATATTCTTAAGTTTGTTGTATTGGGTTGTCCAAAACATTTGTTCAGGCTTTTCAGGAACATCTTGAGGAAAAACTTACTAATGTTCTGGCCAACCCAATATTTTTTAGATTTCACTAAAAAGAAATGTTTAAGGAAAGCTTTGACTGAATAATATTCCATTGCATTTATATGCTGTATTTAGTTTATTCATCTGTTGATGGACATTTGGGTTGTTTCACTTTTTGGCTATTGTGATTAATGCTGCTATGAAGATGAGTGTACAAACATCTATTCAAGTCCCTGCTTTCAATTCTTTTGGGTATACACCCAAAACTGGAATTGCTAGATCATATGGTAATTCTATGTTTAATTTTTTGAGCATCTGCCATACTTTTTTTCCATGGTTCTGGAATTCTTGACTCAAATATATTTGAATTATGACAACATGGATAATAAACCTTGAAAACATTATGCTAAATAAGATAAGCCAGGCACACACACAAAAAAACAAAAATTGCTTAATTCCACTTATATGAAGTAGCTAGAATATACAGATTTCATGGAGACAGAACGTCAGTGGTGGTCACCAGGGCCTGGGAAGGGAGGTATAAGAGGAGTTATTGTTTAGTGATTACAGAGTTTCAATCTGAGAAAACGAAAAAGTTCTGGAGATGGACTGTGGTAGTATTTACATGACCGTGTGAATGACATGACAGTCTGAAGGCCACTGAACTGTCACATAAAGTGGTTTAAACGATAAACTGTATGTTGTACATATATTACTGATATTTTAAAAATAATTTCAGAACCAAAAAAAAAGAAAAAAAAGAGAGTTTTGGGTTTTGCACTCTCTTTAAGTCTTTGACAGCGAAGCCTGATCACACAGACTTGAAAGATGGTGTAGAAATGCCTTATGAAATGGCGCTCCTTTCTTTACTTTTGTAGACTTTGTCATCCTGTTCTAATGTCTTGAAGAGACTGGATTTTAAGGAGCACGGCTTTATCAATCAAAGGAATACCCTTTAAACAACCTCACACTATGTCTCTGTATACAAAGTACACAGCTGAGGTCGTGTGTCTTTGTAACTTTAAGTCCAGTAGCCCCTGGCACACATTACTCAATGAATGCTTGTTGGATCAATGAAAGAAGGTATAAACCAATGATTCAGACATTCAAGTAAGATCAGTTGACTCAATTTTCCATTTCTAGCACATATACAAATCTTACTGAAACTTTTATGAAATTAACGAGCCCCATTCTAGCTGAGGGTCTTCGCAGGTGGCTCAGAGGTAGAGTCTGCCTCCAATGCAGGAGACAGGGGTTGGATCTCTGAATTGGGAAGATCCCCTGGAGAAGGAAATGATAATCCACTCCAGTATTCTTGCCTGGGAAATCCCATGGACAGAAGAACCTGGCAGGCTACAGTCCATGGGGTCATGAAAGAGTCAGACATGACTTGGAGACTAAACAACAGCAATTCTTGCTGAACGTAAGGAAGCAATGCTCCAGTGTGACTGGAGCATGGGTAGAACCATCTTTCCTTTTCATAAGATCCCACTTTGGACCTCCAGTTAGTGAACCTCAGAGGACCCAGTACTAGCACTTTTCTGAACCTCCCTCTCCATTTCCCCTCCCTTGTCCCCATTATTCCAGGCTCTCTGGCTAAGGGTCCCCTGAACAGCTCTTTTATTTGTTTTGTTACTGTCTATGTCTCCCACTAGACTGTGAAGTCTTTAAAATAAGATTTTCATCTTCAGAATCTAGCCCAGTGCCAAAAATATAACATAACAATTCCTCAAGAAATGTCTGGTGAATGAATAAATAGATAATACAACAAGCATTTCCTGTTCATATGA